TCTTTCATCTCCTTTTGAGAAACTCTTTGAGTCTCAACCCAACTACACTAAACTTCGTGTGTTTGGTTGCTTATGTTATCCGTGGCTTCGTCCTTATTCTCAGCATAAACTTGACTCTCGTTCCACTCCTTGTGTCTTTCTTGGTTACTCTTCAACACAAAGTGCATATATCTGTCTCGCTCTATCCACTTCTAAAATATACATTTCTCGTCATGTCAAATTTCTTGAAAACTCATTTCCCTTTAGCACTCACCAAATCCATCTATCACGTCCCACCCCAGAGATCATTTCCAAATGGCTTCCCCCGGTCCAAATTTTACCAATTTCAAGTGGCTCACTCAATACACCCCCACAAAGGGATTCCTCATGTCAACATCCGTCACAAAATACCCAAACATACCACTACCCTTCCTCATCAGTCGACCATTGATCTATGTCCATAGACCTTCCTTTACCCGAACACAGCTCGGTTAATCGCTAAGAAACCATCGTTGACCATTTACCACTAGAACCACACAATTCTGAAACCTCTTCTACTTCAATCATAGCGCAACCCACCCATCAAAATACCCATCCCATGACCACTAGATCAAAAAACAACATCCACAAACCCCTAACCAAAATGAACCTCACTTCTATCATTTCTCAACCATCAGACATTGAGCCTCATACTGTTTCTCAAGCCCTAAAAGATCCTAAATGGAGACAAGCTATGAATGATGAGTTTGATGCTCTTGTTCGGAATGGAACTTGGGATCTTGTTCCATCTACTTCTCTGCAGAATCTTGTTGGATGTAAGTGGGTTTTTCGTATTAAACGGCTTCCTAATGGTTCTATTGACAGGTACAAAGCTAGATTAGTTGCCAAAGGCTTTCATCAGTGACCTGAAGTGGATTATCATGACATTTTTAGTCCGGTTGTCAAGCCGATAACAATACGACTTGTTCTAAGCCTGGCACTCAGTAGAGGTTGGCAATTACGACAATTGGATGTTAATAATGCCTTTCTTCAGGGCCATCTTTCCGAAGATGTCTACATGGCCCAACCTCTAGGATTTGTTGATAAAGACAATCCAACACATGTATGCAAACTAAAGAAGGCTATATATGGACTCAAGCAGGCCCCACGGGCTTGGTACCTTGAACTTCGCCAATTCCTCATTGAGTCATGTAGACACTTCCCTATTCATTCTTCACTCAGGTGACACTACTATATATCTACTTGTTTATGTGGATAACATTATTATCACAAGCACCAACTCCAATATTATTCAGTGCTATATTGACTTCATGGCACAAAGATTTTCATTCAAGGATCTTGGCACCTTGTCTTATTTTCTCGACATTGAGGTTCTAACCACTCCATACGGTCTACTGCTTACTCAAAGGTGCTACATCACTGATCTTCTTTCCCGGACAAAAATGATTGGTGCAAAACCTGTTGCTACACCACTTGTTACAGATGGAAATCTCACACTTCATTTAGGTACAGCTCTAACTGACTGCACATAATATAGAACAATTGTTGGCAGTCTACAGTATCTTTGCCTCACTCGCCCAGACATAGCTATGTTGGTGCCACCTATCTCTGTTCTAATCCAGTCTTTCATTCGCGCATGAAACATGTGGCACTTGACTATCACTTTATTCGGGGTCAAGTTCAATCAGGTGCTCTTCGTGTTACTCATGTTTCCTAAACATATCAACTTGCTGACGCTCTTACCAAACCGCTTCCACGAAGCCGATTCCAAGACTTAAGGGTCAAGATTGGTGTCTCCTCCGGAGCTCCATCTTGAGGGGACATATTAGAGAATTAATTATAACAAATTTTATTTAAATTTTAAATTATTGTAATCAATTATAATATTCTTGTGATTAGTTGTAATTCCCTAACTCTAGGCTAGTCTCCTATTTATGTGCCTTGTAATTAGTTATAATCCCGTAACTCTAGGCTAGTTTCCTATTTCTATATGCCCCATCTTATGTATATATATCCACTCTTAATCAATGGAAAACTCAAGCCATTGTTTCTCAATACTCTTCTCTCTATTTCAACACTCACCACGCTTTACCAGCAGAGTGGGAATGCTCAACATCACCACCAGGGTTTCTTGAAAATGAAATCCGAGGGCAGTGGTCAAGTGGCGTTCGGTTCAGCTGCTCCTGGTTCGTACCTTGACACCGCTTTTGTTAAACAAGTTGTTGCTGTGCCCGATCGTGTTTCGGTACTACAAGTCAGCAATATTATAAACGGTACACGTGCTTCAGATTCAGCTTCACCGTTTTCCCTTCCTAAAACTTCTTCTCCAAGGAATGCATTAGCACTAGCACCAGCAGTTCCTAGTCTTGTCGAGTCTCCAGCACCAGCACCAGAACCAGCAGTTCCTGCTTCTGCTCCTTCTGATGCATCTGTTGGTTATGGGGATTATTTTGCATCCACCATTCTTATTGTTTCGTTTGGGCTTGGTTTCTTCTTACTATGATTTGACTAGGATCAAATAAGTGGAGAAAGTTTGGGTTCTTTTATATTTGGATTTTTGGTTCGTACTCATCTTACTATGATGGGATGTTCCAATTTTTCCGAAATGATCACAAAATCAAGCTTCCTGATACTAATATTGTTTTAGTTGCAAATTGAACAAGTGAATGTCCCATTCGATTGCATTTCCACAAGTTCTTCCGAGTACAGGTAAATTTAAGTATGGTGTAAATGGACCGAACTTCAACGAATAAGACCGTGTTTGTGTTCGTTTTTTAAGGTGTTCATGTTCATTTCGTGTTCGTTTAATTTTTTAATATCGTGTCGGTGTTCGTTTATTTATTTTTGAAGGTGTTCATGTCCGTTTATTTAATGCTTGCGAACATGTTTGCTTAAATGTGAACATGTTTGCTTAAATATTCGTGAACATGTTCGTTTAGCATTCACGAACATATTCGTGTAGTGTTCATTTATCGTTGTCCAACATGTTCATTTAACGTTGATGACTACATTCATTTAACGTTTGTAAACATGTTTTCTTAGCATTCAAACCGAATAACAACCTGTCTAGTGAACCATTTTGCATCTACTCATATGCAAGAGCTCTCAGATCCCTCTCGAGGCAGAAGCCATAAAGTCGAACCAGATTAAAATGGTGAACCCTTCCAATTGTACTCTCTTCTGCCATAAATTGTTGGTCTATCCTTTTATCTCGAAATTTCCATACAACACTTTGATTGCCACCATGGTTCCATTATCGGTTGCAACCCGTAGATGCTGGGGGTAAATCCGATGGGTTTCTCTTTTCGACTCTATCTGGAGTACTTGACACTGCAGGAAGAATGACTATATTAAAATGGTGTAATATTAAAAGGTACAGAGGATTCATGTTCTTATTAAAATGACTATTACATTAAGTAGCAATTAAATCATTCATCCTAGATAAACAACCTATAACAACGTTCCATTTTCACTAAGCATATAATCAGCGTCAGTGACGGACGTATGTATAACTGACGGAAGGGACGTCCCTAGCTTGAAATTCAAATTTTTTTATGCTCATTGTTTATTTTATTAGAAGGTGTTGACCTTAAATATTTATTTTTACTCACCTTATATGTTTTATTATTATTAATACATATGTGCTCACTCTAAAAAATATTTCTGAATCCACCACCACATATAATGTCATATAATGTCATTGAGATGATACCGTTTACTTTATTAAGCTATGATTCCATATTTATAAATAGGGTTATACCATGTATGAGTTACATACTCAACGTATCAACCATCAGCTTGTTATCTTGAGGAACATCAATTATTGATATATCAAAGCAAGCAAATTACACATATGGTTCTATATTTACTCAAAATTAAGGTAAATATATATGAAACATCACAAGTAAATTAGATTTTAGATTAATTCATCGTGGGTGTAGCCTAGTTTGTTTTTTTTGGCTTGACAAATTTGATTTTATTCATTTAAACATAAATAAAGGAAAAGAGTAGAACACGTTCAGGTAAGAAGCTAGACAACTTCATCAATACCACATCCAAGCAAACACCACATCCGGAGCATCCTCATTGAACACATCTTCCAATCCATAGAAATGACCATAGTTTCTATAAGACTATAAGAAACTCAAGAAATTAGACAGCACTCGAGCAAGAATCAAACTATTTCGACTAAAAATTCATTGAATGACTCCCAAATAAACTAAAAGCCAAACTCCTAATCATAGGAACCGAAAAAACATTGGAGAAAGAAATTCATGACATCAACAATCACTTATTCGAAATAAAGAACCACGCTTAATGTTGATCATAACATCAAAAAACCAACTATCAACAATTTTTTTTTTAAATATAAAGACTGCCCCTTAAATGACATTGGTTTAAGACCATGGCTACGCCACCACACCAGTTTGATCGTTGAATTCGACACCGCAAACACCCACCAACTAGATATCACTTTAAGCTTCCACAGTCCATCCAGCCTAGCAAGTCGAGCATCGCTTCTTGTTTATCTCCATCAATACTAAAGTTGAGTTTACAATCCTAATTTTTTTAATTATTAGTATTAAATTCATTAATCAATCTAGATCAGGTATTAGATAAACTTATGGAGGTGACTCTCTCAATTCAGTTTACTCTAATCATAATGTCCAAATTTAAATATACAATCTTACTTAAAGATCTAATACTTATACCACCAAACCAACTGATTTTTTGATAAATTATTTATGAGATAAGTTTATGGTCATGTCACGAATTTACAATCCTTTAGTTCCATTAGGGCTGAAGTGAAGGTTCCAATTAGTTGATTTGTCAAGTAGAATGATGATGGTTAGGAGGTATTCATTTCTTCAGATTGCAGCTAAAAAAAATAGATAGAAAAAAGAAGCCTGAATTTATTAGCATTTCTAAAAATTGGAACTACAGCTTCCCCCTATCAGGGCGAAAACAAGCCAAAAAATTCAAAGATTTAATGAACCCAAAGTTTCCCCTCTTTTTTTTATCTACATCATGGTAAGCAATAACCAAGCGCAAGTGAAAATCAAAAGAATGGTAGAGACCAGATAATCCCCACAAGGTGCAGATACAGCAGACTTCTTCACATCACTACCAGGACCAGGAGCATCAGCATCTGGCGGCGAGGCGTCGCTTGCTTTAGTCTTGGATGGAGCCGGAGACTTTTGGTTGTCCACTTCGTCAGGACTAGGCGTAGTGGCCGGTGCTAGGACCTTCCTCGGAGGGGGAGCATAATCGGGAGCGTTGGATGGAGAAGGTACAAGTGAAACCGAGGCCACATCGATGAGATTACTGATTTGCAGCACTGAAAGGTCATAAGGTTTTGAAGTAACTTGTTTAACGAGTTGAGCTTCAAGGTGAGAGTTTGGAGACGATGATGAAAAAACCACGGCACTCGTGCCCGTGTTCGTCATGTTCAAGAACCCTACCTGATTGCGTGCCTTCCCGGTTTGTTGGTAGAGCGTGGTGAGAATCTTTGCTGTTTTGGAATGCGATTTGTTGAGCTTGGTTTCATCGTAATAATCGAGCACAACATGCACGCTCAACACCATCTTCTTTGTTTCCATGGTTTGGCCATAAAGTGAACCCAAATTACCATTCGAAACAACAAGAACAGTGACGGTTTGCTTGCTGTTGATTTCGTCGGCGACGCCCGTTTCGTTCAACATGTTGACGAAGTCGGAAAAGTCCGAGTAGCTGCTCAGTGTCTTGCCGATGTCCAACTTAGCAGCGGCGGAAGCTAATACGAGAAACAAAAAGCTAAAGAAAAACGCAACAGATGGAGAAGACATGGGGAGCCTTTTTTGTTTGTTTGTAAAATGAGGAAGATGAAGTTGTTGGTGTTTCAGACAGGGTGCAAGAAGGGGTTTATATGCAAAACATGGTGATACCAATTCAAGCCTATTATTGGCAGGTTTGAGTTTATTTCGACCAAATAAGTGGGATTTCAGTTTTGGTCAGAAACAAAAAGAGTAGATAGTAAGTAAATGTGTGGGATTTAAATATTTTGTAGTTTTAATTGATGCATCAAATTAGATGGTCACATGTATCTTTGTTATCAATTCGTAATTTTTTATTTGCAAGCTCACCTGCTTAGTTAATCAATTCTAGATTTTTTCATAAAGACGATTTGTCTTAAAAATGTTAGTGAATTTACATCTAGGGCTTTTAATGATTATTGCACGTCTATTGCAATAAACGTTGAAAATGCTCATGTTTATATACAAAATGATAGTATTGTATCGTCCATCAAACGACTCAATTAATTATAAGATCATTACTTATGAAATCAAAACTTTTAATTTCAATTTTAGGATATGCCATATTACATGCATCATCACTAATTCACATCAAACCAACAGTTATCGCAAGTTTTTTCCATTTCAATCTTCTAAAAAGATATGTAGAATATGGGTGGCATTGAAGCAGTAGGCAATGGCAAGGAAGAGGAACCAAGTTCTAGAGGGCTTAGTGGTCAAGGCCACTCTTCAAATATTACTTTGTGAAGAATATATCAAGTTATTAACTTGATTTAATGGTTAACTTTTAAATTTTTTTTACGAGGGATCTCAGGTTTGAATCCTATACCCACCCAAGTTCATTTTTCATATATGATATATGACTGTGTTACATCAACTTTTATTAATAGTTTAACGATCTAATAATCTAAATGAATTTTTTTTAACAACAATGATTCTAATGAAAGATTTTCGAATTCATTGACTAAAGTGAAAGCGCCATAAAAGTCTAATGACTATTAGAGTTGTTTATCCTTATTTAAATTATTATTAGAACTCATAAAATGATCTTAGTAATATAAATAATATATTTTTATTAAAAAACGTGTATTCAAGTAGCTAAGTATATATGCATTGTCAATCAATTTACCCAAAACTATTCAACAAAAAAATTATTATTATTGTAGTTTTAGGGTAAACTACATAAACTATCTTCACCATCTGTGTAGGTGGTGAAGGTACGCATTACTATGATAAGGGATTTAAAATTTGTTTTGCATTTTCCCTTTTAGTCCATGCTTTTGCAACCATCATCATTTTGCTTGATTGTGTGCTTTACTTTGAGAATTTCTGAACCCATCAAATGATTTAAGTGATAAACATCAAGATTCTTCAAAAAAAAAAAAAAATCCGAATTCATTTCCTCTTTATTAAGTTTTCCAATTCGTTTCCCCCCCATTTTTGAACTGTTTCTCCACACTTTACTCTCTCTTCGTTTACCAGACCATATATCCTCAAAATCTCTTTCACATAGCAGAGTGAAAATAAACAAAAAAATTCGAAGATTTAATGAACCCAAAGTTTTCCCTCTTGTGTTACTACTCAAACCATCGTAAGAAGCAACCAAGCGCAAGTGAAAACCGAAAGAAGGGTAGAGGCCAGATAATCCCCACAAGGTGCAGATACAGCAGACTTTTTCTCATCACCACCAGGAGTATCAGCATCAGCAACTGGCGGCGAGGCGTCGCTGGCTTTAGTCTTGGATGGAGCCGGAGACTTTCCGTTGTCCACTTCGCCAAGATTAGGACTAGGAGCCGGTGCTAGGACCTTCCTCGGAGGGGGAGCATAATCTGGAGCTTTTGCTGGTGCAGGTGAAACCGAGGCCACATCGATAAGATTAATGATTTGCAGCACTGAAAGGTCATAAGGTTTTGAAGTAAATTGTTTAACGAGTTGAGTTTCGATGTGAGAGTTCGCAGAAGAAGATGCAAAATACACGGTTCCATTGCAGGTGTTCGTCATGTTCAAGTACCCTACCTGATTGCGGGCTTTCCCGGTTTCTTGGTAGAGCGTGGTGAGAATCTTCTCCGTTTTGGAATGCTATTTTTTGAGCTTGGTTTCATCGTAATAATCGAGTACAACATGCACGCTCAACACCATCTTCTTTGTTTTCCATGGTTTGGCCATAAAGTCCGCCCAAATTGCCATTGGGAACAGCAAGAACAGTGATGGTTTGCCTGCTATTGATTTCGTCCGCCACACAAGTTTCGTTCAACATGTTGACGAAGTAGGAGAACTCCAAGTAGCCGCTCAGGGTCTTACCAATGTCTAAATTAGCAGCTCCAGAAGCTAATAAGAAAAACAAAAAGGCAAAGAAAAATGCAACATCTGGAGAAGACATTGAAAACTTATTTTCTTTTTGTTATTTGAGAAAGATGAAGTTGTTGGTGTTTCAGAGAAGGATGCAAGAAAGGGTTTATATACAAAACATGGTGATACCAATTCAAGCCTAATATTGGTAAGTTTGAGTTAATTTCGACCAAATAAGTGGGATTTCAGTTTAGGTCAGAGAAGCAAAGAGAGCATACAGTAAATGTGTGGGGTACTTTTCATATAGTAAAAACCAAATGCCGGTTTGTTCCCATAACCGTTACGGAATATAGCTCGTTACAATATTTTGAGAATACTTACACCTACAAGAAGTAGAATAAAAAAAGAACAAGAGTTGTAAAAATCCAATTAAAAAAGCATAATCTTTATGTTATCAATGTGAAGGAACATACCATTTTTCTCGTATCTATGGCATGCCAAAATATCTTATGGACCATTATCAACCATCAATGATTTCATTTGTTTGTGAGCAACCTTTCATTTGTTGAAGGTTATTGATGTGGAGTAGCTAAATCCATGATATAACACTTTGTAATGGAGCATTTCAGGAGAGGAATAGTCACATTGTTTGTGAGCAACCTACCAACGAAATTTTATTGGAGTGGTTTGCGCCAAGCTTATGAAAGACACAGAGATGTGGTGGATTCCTTAGTGGCGAAGAAGTTGGATAGAATAGGAAAGCGATTTGATTTTGGGAGATTCTCTAACAAGCATGACGTCATTAGAGCCATTGAAAGATTGAATGGTTTTAATTTGTACAGATTTCGATTATTTATTTCCTTCGCAAAATTCTAGGTGAGATATTCATATTGGAGGAAAGTTCGAAAGGAAGGGAAGAAGAAAAATAGCAACGTGAGAACAAGTATCGATACTGGATGAACTGAGATGAAATTCGAGTATTTCTAGTAGGGGGAGAGTATCGATATTGAGAGGGAGAGTAACGATAATGATACATGCATCACAAGGCTCACATTAAATGAAGAAGTGATAACTCTTCCAAATGATCCACTCGTCCAAGTCTTGGAAAAGAAGACCATAACAATAGTAGACTTGCGATGACTTTTTGAATGGAATCTTGATCTTATTTGGTCAACATGTCTTCTGAAGATACAACCTTCTGTCTCTTATCTTTACAAAGGTTCTTGAATTGCATCAATCCGATAACATGAACTCAAGATATAGTCATTTTAGCGAAGACAGTGCATGCAGAAAATCCTATACGGAATTAATATGAGATTTTGTAAATATTACGAATTTTTAATATTTTTATTGATTATTTGTAATATAATTTAATATAGGATGATACATTATCTTTTAGGATTAGATTTATTATTTTATTAGGAATTAAGGTTGAGTTAAAAGATTATTTTTAATTATTATTATTTTATTAGAAATTAGAGTTAAGACATGTTTAGTATGTTATTATTTTATTCGTTAGTTATTTAGGACCTTTAGAACTTAGCCCCTATATAAAGGAGGCTTCCTTCAACTTTGTAAAAGAGATTTCTTTGATTAATAATACAACGAGAGTTCGTTTTCGCAAGTGTTGATTGCCTTGTGCCTTCGAAGCTTGTTCTCTCGGAGTTCTTTCATGTTATTGTGAGGGAGATTAATCTTCGCACTCGAATTTGCCTTTTCATATTGACTAGGAGGGTTAGTTATAGCCATATTAGCGAGTTTTTCTTTACATTACGACTAGGAGGGTTCAATAGGACACTTATCCATCTATTTTCCACAAAGCCATCCTCACTATCATCATCTTTACCGTTCACCTTCATAAGGGAGCCATCTTCTACTATTTATCACCCTTTGTTCTTTATCGAGTCTAGAGCTTTCTAGGTTTGATTCTTCAACAAGAGCAACATTCATTAATCCGCCACCGCTTCCCTATTAGATATTGCCCCTATAGTATCGATACTGAGAGTACTTGGTATCAATACTAGGCCAAGTTTTAGTATTGATACTCATGGGGTATCAATACTTGACTCTAGGATATCAATACCGCAAGTAGAGTATCAATACTACCTACTTTGATGGTTAGATTTGACCTCGTTAAGGCTCATAAGAGTTAGGGATGATCCATAATGGTGGAACTTAGTCTGTGAGGGACATAAATGATCAAGAGGCCTAAAAACACTCTTAGGAGTAGGTTACAACCGAAGTAACCATACCAAGCATAATACGTCCAAGTATCTTCAGTTGAGCACATATCGAATAATTAAGAATGAGGATCATTGCAGAGGATGTACCGACTAGCGGTACGATAAGTAAGTCAGTTTACGTAATAGCGAAGTCGTGTACTCTAGAAACGTAAGTGAACCGAGAACGTATAAGTCATCTCTCCAATTCAAAGGGTATTGAAGAGAAGTACGATAAGAGCGATTAGAGTGTCTCTACCTGGTAATGAATTTGAGTTAGGTATCAAGCTAGCTATTATTATAGCCAGTGCACAAAAAACACGGTAATCGTCATAAAATCATGGAACACATCCTCTTTAGAGACAAAAGAGACTAATGCGCCCTTCAGTAATGAATGACTTGAGTAAAGCAACTTAATAAACTAATAACAGTAACAAACTATTAAACCCTTTCATAACGTTATAGATAAGAGAACAAATGAGATAGTAGCAGTGAGGGATGACCTCACTTTAGTTTGTCGAGCTACACTAGTGTGTAGTTAGACTACCTTAGTTGTCTAGTGGGGTATTGTTAGTGTTGTGTGGGCTTTAGGACCTCAGATATGCATGTGTAGTTGTACCAGTCCTGTTAAATACATATCTTTAAAGCTTGACTTGATGGCTGTGTAAGATATAGCCAATGCTTCAGTTGAGTGAGAATTGTACCGATAATATGTGACACCGGGTTCCCTCTCCATGATATACCTGATTGCTATGTGAGACTAAGGGATCATTCAACAACTTAGTGGGAATTTTACTAATGCTATGTGACACCAAGTTCCCTCAATTAACTAATGTTTGATGGCTATGTGAGACCAGATACTAGCAATGTCACATTTAGATAATGCACAATAGTGTCAGTGTCACATTCAGATAATGCATAATAGTGTCAGTTTTGTATTCAAATAATGCACGACAATGTCAGTGTCATATTTAGATAATGAAAAACAATTACAGTTAGTGTGGGTAGAGACCCAATAAAGGTTTTTTATGGCAAGGCCCTTAGCAGAGGATTAAGGGAAGCATGAGCTCCTACTTCAGCGATAGAACTGCTAAATCTTAACTAGGTAGAACTTGATTAAGATCATTCATGTACCTACTTCTTAGTACCATGTCTTTAGTATGCTTATGTTTATGATACATATAATGCTGCTATAGATTAGCGATTATACTGCTGGGCTTTATAAGCTCAACGTTTAGATATTTTTGTTCGCATGTTTTTGACTTGGGCCATTCGTGGAGCACCATCGCAGTAGGACTTCCAGCATCTTCCTTAGAGTATTGTACTTTAACTTTAGTGGGCATATGTATTCATAGAACCTTACTCATGTATTTGGTTTATTGAACTCTAAGTTTGTATTATTTTGGTTTTAAACAATGTGTCACAAAGCTCCGATTTATAAAAGTAATTTTCTAACTGTTATTTACATCTATTATGGTACCATTCAGTATGTTTTGAAATGAAAATGAACAAATTTTAAAAATCAAGGGTTGTCTTGGTAGCCCAATATGAAACTTTAGGCCCAATCATGTTTAGCGTGTTATAAAACTAATTATAGAATCTGAATCCCATATAGCTCTAAATTAGATTGCAAGCTCATTATTCATATTGTGACTATGGTGATGGATTTTTGAAACATAGATAAGTTATCCCCCTCAATTTCTATGGTGTAGTTCATATATACGCCAAGAGAGCGAAATGTAATGACTGATCATTTAGCAAAGCAAGGGTTATACTGGCAAAACATTGTCGTAGTTGAATGTATATGTTGAAGAGTCATAACGGAGATCCCAAAGTTCCTGTTGTTTAATTATGTGATTATGGTGGAGGGTTTTTGGATTAACAAGAGTTTGACTTAGCCTGATTGAGGAGTACTATTTTGTTTCATTAAGTTTATAGAGGTTTTTAATGTGGCTCACAATCTAGGTTTAAGATTGTATAATTTAATTTAATAAAATCATATTTCTTAGAAAAAATCATTAAATGATAAAAAATGGAGACAAATTTAATTGAAGTATTAAAGTAGCACACGGGACCACCAAAGTGGCTAACCCAAAATTTTATAAAACATTTGTAAAAATCATATGAAATGATCCATAAAAGTCATAAAATAAAAGCATAATATTAGAGTTCACAAATACAGGGGAGCTCTCGAAATACAAAGGGTCTATGAATCATATATTCCCTCTAAATATGACTCAAGATATAGTATGAAGCCTCGACTGATCAAGAATCATTAGCGACGATAATGTTCCTCGACTCGACTCTTAAGAAACTACACATGAGAATACATTTCAAAAGTTGAGATTACGAGCTCAGTACCACACTTATAATTGTACTGTACTACATGCATTCACTATATGAGTATACTAGTGGCATAGGTAGGAATGTATAAGAATGCTAACATGCAAGTTTATGTAGGCATCATGGTGTGGTTGAGGGTTCTGCATCTCGAAATACACACCCTTCTAGCCTATCTAAGATATCCTTGGGTACTTGGGGTAAGATCCGGAACTGCATCGGAAACATACCGCAACCAACTTACTCCATCAATTTTTAGGGCTTCTGTGACCAATTGGCAACTGAAGTACCTTGACACTAGCTGAGATATATCCATATACTTCTAACAAGTAAGACGATTGTTAACTGCTAAAGTAACTCGGGTGTCCTGAATGTTTCTCGAGCATTATACAAGGCTAGTTTTATATCATCCTAGTTGGTAGTGTTTCTAACTATAATTGCACTTATTACTGTTCTCACTTGTTGTTTTATTTACTAAAGTTCTATCGTTATTAAGCTCTTCATCACTACTCCTTGATCAGTTGGGTTCTTTACACAAAACGGTATA